AATTTTGGAAGAACAGGGTTTGAATTAATTCCTTTAAATGTTGAATTTTTAATCAAGATGGAACTGTTTTTGCACAATACATTTACACTTTTATATATTTTATATTCACTTGTTGCAACTGCTTCATTTAAATAGTGGTTGTCTTAAATACTGTCCAAAAATCATTAAAGCAAGCAATGAATACAAAGCTGTCAGTCACATATAGCAGCAAAGATTTAACATTTTAGAAGTCAGCTCATTTCATACTTTCTTTTCTTTTCATTCTTTTCTAATTACTAACACAAGTGCAAAAGTTTTCTATATTTTTCCAAACAATACTTTATTTATTTATTATTTTTTCTTTTTCTTTTACTTTTGCGCTCAGTCAGCACTCTAAATAACCAAAAACAAATATTGTATTTTTTGTTTGTTTGTTTGTTTGTTTACTTGTTGTTTAGCAGCTTTTTTTCCTGCACAAGTAAGAACAGTAGAGGAGTGGCAAAGAATGTATCCAAATAAGTTTAAAGATGAGCCTGTTTCTGTCTTGGCACTCTGTTTTAACTCATACAACTAACTGCTGTTGTCTAGTGAAAAAAAACAAAAAAAAACCACGATCAGATTAAAAAATAAAGAGGCATGTTTTAGATTTCGAAATCACCACCACAGAGATGTGGCACAAGCAAATGAGTTTGTTTTTACATGTACAAACTTGTACCCGCATAAACTATTATCTGTAAACATAAATCACCTTCTTGTCATTTCTAGACTGAAGCAGTGGGAAATTAAATAAAAAAAAACTAGTGTAAAACATAAAACTTAAATGTTTACACAAGTATGCTAGACTTTAATATTTTCTAATTTATTGCAGAGAAGTAATTACATTTGTGATAAATTCTTCAAATTCAATGGTTGCTAGCACATTTTCTATTGTTAAAAACACACACACACGCACACACACACACATGTATATGTATATATGTATATATATTTTTAAATTTTAAATTTAACTTTAACTTTTAAACTTTATTGTCATTCAAAATTGTCAGTGCACCATGCAAAATTGCACAACATTTTGTTTGATTTCTCCACAGCAGTGTAGAAGACACGCCTCTAGATGCAGGAAGAGAGCCATCTGCATCATGAAGGACCCCACTCACCCAGCACACACACTTTTTGCTCTTCGCCCCTCAGGAAGGAGGTTGAGGAGCATTAAGTGTAGAACCACTAGACTGAGGAACAGCTTCTACCCTGAAGCTGTTAGTCTCATGAATCTCTGACCAGAATAATCACTGTGAAAAATCACATCATGTTGCTGCTGATCTGTTTCATGTTGCTGCTGATCTGTTTCATGTTGCTGCTGATCTGTTTCATGTTGCTGTGTTCATGCGTGCTCATCTGTTCATACAGACTCATGTTCGTGCTGCTGTTTGGCGTATTGTTTTTATTGTTTATATGCTACTAGTGCTTAGTGTGTATTTAGTTGATGTTTTTCTTAGTTCATATCTTAGATCTTATTACTGTTTTTATTTTACATTTTATTGTTGGATGTAACTGGGACCCCGTTTACACAATTTCGCTCCACCACATGTACCACGTGTGGTGCGAACGATAATAAAGAATCTCTGAATCTGAATCTGAAGTACATAATTTACATGAAGTTTATAGACTTTGGTGTTTAGAGCAGAAGATGCAGTTCTTGTGCGGATACAACAAGTAATGTGCAAATGTTAGTGAATGTTCCTATAAACATCTGGACATATGATGCATTTATACTGTACATATATCTACTATATGTATATCAACGTCAAGGTTCTTTATTGTCATTCGCATGTGGTACAAGTGGTGGATCGAAACTGTGTACACAGGTTCCCAGTTACATCCAACAAAAGTATAAATTGTAAAAGAAAAAACAGTAATAAGATCCAAGATATGAACAAAGAAATACACTAAACTAAGAAATACGCTAAACACTTAATAGTGCAAAAACAATACGCCGAACAACAGCAGCACGAACATGAGTCTGTGTGAGTAGATGAGTACGAATGAACACAGCAACATGAAATAAATCAGCAGCATAAGATCAGCAGTATATATACACGTACATACATATACAATACAATTTAGCATATTCTATTAGACTTGCAGGAAAAAGCAAAACTGAATTGTTGACATTTTGGTTACCATGTTCAAACTTTTTTATGGTAATGCAATAAAAAAGTTAAGAAACAGCTGCTTTTAGGCGACATGGTGACTCAGTTGGTAGAGCTGTTGCTGCTAAGTGAGACGGTTTCCTCCCACAAACCAAAAACATGCATGTTAGGCTAATTGGCAACACTAAATTGTCCCAGTGAGTAGCTGTCTTGTTTGTCTCTATGTCCCTGTGATGGACTGAGACCTGTCCAGGGTGTCCCCCGCCTCTTGCACAGTGACTGCTATATACGGACACCAGTGACCCCCACGAGCCGAAAAGGAAGAAGCGGGTAAAGAGAATGGAAGGATGGATGAAATAAAAAGTCATCCAATGAAACAGAAAAACTATTTAGAGTGCACCTCATAGCAAATTATATATATTTTAATTATTATTATTGGATTTGTGGACCACAAAACAACAACAACAATAAAAAAAAAGTCAGCTTTACTCTTTACTGTTTGTCACATACAGGAGAAAGATGGAGGACACCATTAGTTGTCTGACTGACTTCAGTTACTGACTTAATTCCTCTGTTCATCGCTTTCTTCTAAACCTGCAGTCGGGTTTCAACTTTCTTAGAATCACAGCGACATTCTGACATGCCTTTTAGGATAAAAAAAATACCTGACAGGTGCGAATAACATCTCTTACGAAATCTCACTGCAGGCAGAAAAGAAAGGGGCAACTAGTTCATGCGACCCATCCTGCAGCTTCATGTGAGAGTTCTCTGCTCACCCTCCAGCATTCTGTTTAAATGTGACCATATAATAAATGATCCAAATTGTTGTGATTTATGTCAGTTGCTGCCAGCATGTACTGCAGACTTGTGTGTTAGGAATAGAACAGATTTAATTGCATCTTTACATAATATCCTACAAACTTTGTGAAAATATAATCACAAGATTATAATGTAATTAGTTGTGATATATGATGAATACAACAACAAGCATAGTTTGTGTGTATTTTTAATTCATGATCCACAAAAGTTCTGATTTCTTTGTGTGTTACAGCAGGACAGTTTATGTTGGACACATCTGCACTTCTGTGGAAAATTGTTTTTTTCCATGAAAGATCTTAATGAAGCGACACATTTGAAAATAATGCAATACTTTTGTTGCTGCTGAGAACATCCAGGTACACCAGTATGTCCCTGCTATGAACCTGGTATATGCCAGGATATATTCTGCATTGCTACTAATCTTTGTTGGATTAAATTGTAAATGGACTGCACCTAGATAGTGCTTTTCTATCTTATCAAGGTACTTGTAAGAGCATCAAAATTCTTATTGTGTCATTGGGCAACAGATGATTTCTACTGGCTACCAAAATGAAAAAGGCTAGGTTTGAATCATCAGGTTAACTGACTTAAAATCACATTTATTCTCATAAAAAATGAAGCAGTTTGCTGAATCACCAATGAGTAATCAATGAGAATGATGGTATGATGGTTGGGACCCCAAGTAGCTGTGCAGAAAGAGGAATTTCAGGATTCTTTTTTGAAAATTACACACGTAAGCTACAATTTTCTGTTCATCAAGAATACCTGAGATGAATAGTCTGCAATAAAATGCATGCTGTTGCGTGAAATTTCCATTCACTCCAAAATAACATCTAAATTATTTGGCCATTAGTGTTGATGTGATATAACTTTCTTGAACAAAATGTTGTGAATGTGATGTGAAGCTTTTATAGTCTGCATTTGACATCATCCAGTCAGATTTGTTCCGTCTCAAACTGGTGCTAAATGTTGAGAAAACCAAAGGGATTCTGTTTTCAAACAGGAAGTCGGTACCAGCAGTCCTCCCTTCTATCTTATCAACGAATGGTGTTCCTATTGAGTTTGTGGATTCTTACAAATACTTGGGAATCTTGGTCGATGCATATCTCTCTTTTAGGCCTCACGTCAAAATCTTGGAGTAGAAACTGAAAGTTAAACTGGGTTTATTTTCCAGAAATAGATCTTGTCTAACCCCAAATGCTAGGAAACACATTGTAACTGTGACTTTCCTTCCATCCACTGACTACAGTGACATTATTTACATGAATGCTCCTGCAAGCACCCTGCAGATGCTGGATGCTGTCTATCACAGTGTACTAAGATTCATTACTGGCTGCAACTACCATACCCATCACTGCACCCTGTATTCACTGGTTAACTGGTCATCATGAACTTCTCACAGATTTTTTCACTGGTACATTTTCATCTTTAAATCACTTCTTGGTCTGTTGCCTTCATATAGCTCCTCCTACATGTCACGTCATCAGTGCAGCTACAGCGTGCGCTCCCAAGACATCATTACCTGCAGTGTCCCCTCATTGCAGACTGAATTTGGTAAAAGGGACTTCTCTTACTCCGCTCCTGTTTCCTGGAACACCTTGCAAAAAAGTCTGAACTCTCGACCTTGATCTCCCCAAAGGATTTTAAACAACTATTAAGTTCTATGCAAAAATCAATGCAGACATGTTCCTGTTTTTAGTATCTTACACCATTTTATAATGTAGCATGTTTTGCATTATTTTGTTTTGTATCACTTCTTTCATGTACTTTTCATTCTATACGCTTTTATATGAATGATTATTGCTGTGTGTGCCTCATCTGTGTTCTTTGTTTAAAACAGGTCTCTCTTGTAAACGAGTCCTCGTGACTCAATGAGACTAACCTGTATAAATAAATGTTGAATGAATGAATGAGTAATTACCTTTTGATAATGTAAAAGTGAGCTGAGGCCCTTCAGCCTACCTTAAAATCATTTAAAAAGGGGGTTGGACTAACCATGGCTGTGCCTTTTTAGGTCCGGTAGGTGTGACCCAGCTAAACAAAAACACACACGTGAAGCTCTTGTGTTTGTCCGGGAGCCTCCTCCACCCTCAGACACACACAAGCTGGTCTCTGCACAGAGGACGTCTGTGTGAGAAAGACAGTGTTAAACCATATTTTCTGCCCTGGAGTTTTCAACAACAAACCTTTTCCAAGTCTGAGAACATGACGGATACAAGCACCAACATGAGGTTGAAGCTGCCTGTCATCTGCTTCATCCTGGAGATCATCCTCATCATCCTTTTCGGCGTGCTGGTGGAGTACGACCATGATACGGATTCAAAGCTGTTTAATAAGCACAATAACCATCACAACCATTCTGACGCTGAGAATGAATTCTACTACCGCTATCCAAGTAAGTCTCCAGTTGCAAAGCATTGCACTGAAAAAAACAACAACTTTAGAGCTTAAAATAAATAAATAAAATAAAAGCAGCTGCTTCTAAGTATTATGGTTTTTATTTTGAGCAAATATTTTTCAGTCATAATGAGAAAACTTTGCCATGCTTGAAAGACAGATCATTTTTGCAACTGCTGCTTTGAGCCAAATTTATAATTTGGTGAGTTTAAAGAAAATGTAATGTACTTTTTAGCATAAAAGTTTACCATATACTTTGTTTGAAGACCATTTTGAATCTTTGCTCACAATGAACCCCTTTCTTCTCTTTCATGCTTCCATCAAACCACTTGAAAGTATAATGTTTGCAACTCTTTGTGTTTTGTGGTCCATTTGTAAGGATCGTAGTTGTACCACTGTAATATATTGTGCATGGAGTTGCATTATAAAACATTTAATCTCATGACTGGACTCGCCCTGGTACGTTTTCAAAGTCTAGATTAGATTATCGCAGTCGTGATCCTTACCACATTTCTAAAAATGTGTACACAGAGTACACAATTTAAACCTGTACAACATTAAAGTAGAAGTAAGAATAGTCCTGATGTCTAAAATATAGTCATAGTTTTAGCATACTTGTGTTTTGTGTGATATAAAGTGGATCTCACTTTTTATGACTTTATATAATTGTGTTGTAATAAAATGTAGCAATGTCAGTCGTGCATTCACGTATTTATCGATTACAAAAGTTGTGCGTTGCAGAAGCTGTTTTAACTTTAAAGTTCACAGACCACTTCAGAGATCACTTATCTCCACCTTTTAGAACTAAAATGGCAGATTGCTGATGCCATCAAGCCATTTATTAGTTGTAGTTTAGGTGGAGGTGTCCGTTCTGAGTGTGTGGCCCGTCTTTTTGCAGAGCAGACACTGATGGAAATGTTCATTCAAGCACGCTTCTACATCAGTGCTCGCTCTGCCCCTTCCTGTTGGTCTTTGAATTGTGCACTTTCACATGTTCATGAGCCAACACATCAAATGTGAATGTCTAACGTGCCCTTTTTCAATTCAGTTTCAGTTCAGTTCATTTATATAGCACCAAGTCACAACAGAAGTCATCTCAGGGCACTGAACAGGAACAATCATCTACAAAAATAATAATTTAACATTATTTATCTGAGGAGCAGACTGCTTTGAGTTTAACTCCATCACAGAACTCTCATCTTGAGCAAGCATGAAGGCGACAGTGGGAAGGAAAAACTCCCTCATGAGGAAGAAACCTTTAGCAGAACCAGGCTCAGGACAAGCGGACCATCTACTTCGACCAGCTGGGTTTGAGAGGAACAAGAAGGAGGAACAGATACACAATGGCAGGTCCAGAATCTTGTTAAGATAGAAATAATATCAAATAAAAAATATTCCATTTTAGCAAATTATTTAAGGAAACAAGGTCAATTTTTCCTCTAGTAGTCTAAGCTTAAGGTAACATAACAAGCCAACCCTAACTATAGGATTTATCAAAAAAATAAAATATTAAGCCCAGTCTTAAAACTGGACAATGTGTCAGCATCATGGACACAAACTGGAAGTTGGTTCCACAACAGAGGAGCCTGATAACTGAAAGATCTTCCTCCCATTCTGCTTTTGGAAATTCTAGGAACCACGAGTAAACCTGCAGTCTGAGAGCGAAGTGCTCTGTTAGGAAAATATGGAACAATAAGATCTGTAATATAAGATGGAGCTAGGTTGTTGAGGGCTTTGTAGGTTAGAAGTAAGATTTTGAATTCAATTCTGGATTTGACAGGGAGCCAATGGAGAGAAGCTAAAACTGTAGAAATATGATATCTCCCACTAACTCCAGTTAATACTCTGGCAGCAGCATTTTGGATCAACTGAAGACTTTTTAAAGAAGCATTTGGACACCAGATAACAAACCATTGCAATAGTCCAGTCTAGACGTGACAAATGCATGAACCAGTTTTTCTGCACCATTTTTAGATAAGATGTTTCTCATTTTAGTGATATTACGCAGGTGGAAGAAGGCGGTTCTAGTAATGTTTTAATGTGAAAAATATTCATTTTTAAGGGTTGTTGTGCATAAAATAAAACACACATCCAGCTCCAACAGTTGTAATTGAAAAGGCAAAGTAAAACGTTGATCACATCAGTATCCCACCACACTATTTGCCTGTTGTGACGCTGACATCAGCATTTAACTAAAGTCCCTCAGTGCTAAAGTTCAGTCTCACCAACCAATTAGCGCAACTACAAACTCTGCTTCAGTTTCTTTCATTGACTGGTTTCCTTGTACGAATGATTAACCCAATTTAACCTAATCAACAAGTACTTTAACCTTAATGACAAAACAGACTGGTCAGCCTCTAAATGGAGCCAAACGTGCTGGATCCATCAAACTGTTACTTGCTTCAACATGCCACATTGTTGTGACTTCTAACTTTACTTTGTGCAGCCTCATTTCTACTGACACACCAAAAACGGTACACTGCAGATTGTTTTCAAGTTTAAACAAAAGACAAACTGTCTTTGAAGTATTGTTCTGAACGCCTGAAGGTGACAGCTTTTAGAAAATAAGGGTAGCAGGTAAAAGTCCATGGCTTTTTATGGTCTGAGACAGTGTTTATTCTGATGCCTTCACTGTCACGGCAGCTGAGGCACGAGTTCACCTTCATGTCTCAGGAGTCTGTATACACAACCTACACTTTGTATCCTTATAGCATGCTTGGAAAAAATTGTACAGTAAACATAGACCCAGACTTTTCACGCTCTGCAAGGAATAAACGTTGCTACTGGTAAAACTGTGTTTGTACTGTAAGTTTTATTAAATAAGGAAGTTAGGCTCACTGAAACAAAACTTGTCTCTGTCTTGCACAACAATCCACAGGATGGATCCAGGGAAGTCTCCTTTTATTATATAGATATGAATCACCTTAAAAATGTCAAAACCTTCACAGCACTTGGTATTCATCCATTAAAAATGGATTTAATTTGTGGATTTATATGGCCACAAGATACTTTTATTCCAAGAGGAATAGAAAAACTGAAGCAAATGTTAAAATATGTAAAACAAACATTGTTAGGTAAAATATTACTCTAGCTTCTTAATAAATCTGGTGATGGTTGGACGAGCTCATTACTGCTCTGATAGGAAGGTGTCCTCTCAGGCCATTGGGAATTGCATGTATTTAGGACAAAATGCAAACAGGGACACTGGCTCGGTCCCCACTTGGCCATGTCAATTAACAGTTGCCATGGCAACATCTCATAATGCTCAGAAACTGTGTGAACCGGGAAAGAGGACGGAAGAAATGATCATCAACTTGCATTTAAAATGGACTGCTTCCTGTTCCTTTCAGCTGTTCTGTGTACCGATTTATTAGATTTAGGTGAACAACATTTAAAGCGAGTTTCCAAGAATTACCACCCAGCATGAGTCAACCTGTACAGGTGCCGAGCCACAACTGAAGCTGATTTTCAGCTTAACCAGTTTTTTCAAATGCACGCTCGAGGAACTTTTGTTTTTAGTGACAAAACCTTAGATCCTTGGCAGCATTTGTTGATGGCGGCTGCCAACACTGACATTTACCTGATGAACGGTTGGCACGTCTCTGTCACACCTAAACAGAACTTGAATAATTATAGAACTGGTGCTTTTCTCTTTACAAGGTCATTTTTAAAACAAACAAATGAATGAGTAAGACTAAAAAGTACCTTCATTAAAAAAAAAAATTGTTAAAAGTTTCAAATACTTTTTGTTTTTACATCTTTTGCTTGTTCACTTGTTTATTCGACTACTCAAATGTTTCATTTCTCATCATTTATTCAATCTGGTTTTGGTGTCATTTGGAAACTTAATATTAAGTTTATGATGGAAAAAATTATTTGACACAACTATGAATCGTGTTATCTACTCACAAATATTATAGTTTGATGACGATGAATGAAAGTTGTTTAAAGTCAATTTCCAAACTGATCAATACTAAAATGCAACAAAAAGAAACCCTTTTTTGAAAAACTGATTTTACTTGACAAGTTTTAGGAATTAATGCATCCAACCATAGATAAGTGTATTTTTTGTTTGTTTTACTGCTTGTAAAACGTGCAAGCACAGTACTAGTACTGTGGTGCCAACTAGTACTAGTACTGTAGTGCTAATGGGACCATGCTGCAAACATTCACTGTTAGATGTATTTATTTTTCACTTTTTGCACCTTGTTTTTGTATTTTTACTGCATGCTTTGTTATTTTTTATTATCTTTTTGTCAAGTCGAGACGATTCTTCTCGTCCTGAGCATTTCATTGCATTGTTGACCTTGCAATGATTTGCATATGACAAATAAACCAAACCCTAACCTGAACCTACTGAGGAGCTTCCTGATCATTCATTGTTTTTTTTATATTGTGCAGGTTTCCAGGATGTGCATGTGATGATCTTCATTGGCTTTGGCTTCCTCATGACCTTCCTGCAGCGCTACGGCTTCAGCAGTGTGGGCTTCAACTTCCTGATCGCAGCCTTTGCCCTGCAGTGGGCCACGCTCATGCAGGGCTTCTTCCATGGCATGCACGATGGCAGCAAGATCCATATTGGAGTGACGAGGTGTGTGCTGCATGCAAACTAAACGAGCCTCTTAATGCAATATACATACTCTCAGTGTGTTGTGTTGTTTCCTCTTAAGTCTTCTTAGTTGCTCTTAAAATAACATCATCAAACTAAAAATATAAAACACAAACAAGCCCATTTATTTATGAGACATACAAATATGGGAACATGTTCTGTTTTCAGACCCACAGAGAGGGTGAGCTGTATTCCTGCCTAAAAGACATTTATAAAGTGGGAACAATATTTTTTATGTCTTATCACGAACCTACAACAATTACATAAAATATGCATGATATTTGCTACAAATGTTTAAAAATGAAGGCTTTGTTTCTCTAATGAAGTTCACTTCATGTCAAATAAGTTGCTTTGCACTCATTATCTCAGAAAATCAATCAAAATCAAGTTTAATTGAAGTATTGGAATTCCTTTAAGCTCATTTATTAATTTCAAGGTGGCTTTAATCAATTTTTGGCCACATTGAGGAAATGGAATATCATTTACATTTCTTAAAATTAAATTGTTTATCAAATATGATATCTAAATGCAAACTACCTGTTGATTTGAAACATTTAGTGTCTACTGTAAACTGTTCTTAAACACTTTGTTGTTTTTAAATTATAATTGTCTTTTTCTTCTCAGTATGATCAATGCTGATTTCTGCACCGGCTCTGTGCTGATCTCATTTGGAGCAGTTCTGGGTAAAACCAGTCCGGTCCAGCTGCTGGTCATGGCAGTATTTGAGGTCACGTTGTTTGCTGTCAATGAGTTCATCTTGCTGACCGTTCTGGGAGTGAGTATCCAAATAATCACATCCTGGATTAACTTCAGAAACAGAAGGATTGACTTTCTAATCTGTGATAATGCTTTACTTAAAATTCTGTGTAAAACTGTGCCAGATTACCGACCCAGACTAGGAAGACAAAGCTAATTATTTGAATGCATACATTCAATCTACTCGTGCACTTACAGTCATACAATTCGTAACTTCATGCATCCTGTACACTTCGTTTCAGACCAGAGATGCTGGAGGCTCCATGACCATCCACACATTTGGAGCCTACTTCGGCCTGATGGTGACACGAGTCTTGTATCGGCCCAATCTGAGCAAGAGCAAACACAAGAACTGCTCCGTCTACCACTCTGACCTGTTCGCCATGATCGGTAATCCTCACACAAAGCTGGAGATTTATTGAAATTGTTTACGTTGTTGCTTGCAACCATTCATAAAAGGTTTGCGCACAGATAAATTGTATGTCTACATGAGGTGTGCTCAGCTCTGCAGCACTAAGAAACAAACAGTAATCATAAACAGTCTTGGATTTTTCATCATTGTCTAACTCGGTTACCAAAAGGAGCCAAAATTTAAAAACTTTGTCTGAGCCACCAGTCACTTTCAAATGATACATTAACTCAAGTCAGATACCCGATATCTTTTTTTGGTTTCAGTTTCATGAACAAGAGTTTGATGTGTCTCACTTGATGTCCTGTTGCTCTTTCCACATCAGAATCATTAATGATAGAATGATCCAACCTTCTTTCTGGCTTCAAAGTTAGTCAGCTGGCAAGAGAAGTCTATACTAAATGATATATTTATCTGTTTTTAAGGAAAAAATTAGAAGAGATACAATATTTTACATTTATATGATCATCTTGGGGGACCAGATTTGGCCCGCGGCTCTTGAGTTTGACATATGTGCAAGCCTCAAACTAGCAGCCGCCTGTGATAAAATGGCTGCCAAATGAGTGTGCAAAGGAGCTACCTTTTCAGAAAGTTTGAGGCGCAGCGTTCATTTCTGAGGAACTTCTAAACCAGTATGTGTGTGGATCCATAGGTACCATCTACCTGTGGATGTTCTGGCCCAGCTTCAACTCTGCCATCACAGAACTTGGTGACGCCCAGCACCGCACAGCCATGAACACCTACTACTCGCTGGCAGCGTGCACTCTGTCAACGTACGGCATGTCTGCCCTCACAGCTCATGATGGCAAGCTGGACATGGTGAGCAGGATTAGGACTGTCATTTTCAATTAAGGTCTTGTTTCTGAAATTTAATTATGGAGAGGTAACAAACTTTAAGAACCAGAGAGAAGTCGACTTTTAAAGACATTTTATCTTCACCTGTAAGACGGACAATTCAGTGGGAAGTAGGGCTTTGGAGGGCGTTGCAAACCCTGGACATCCATATATCTTTCCATCCGTTATCTTTACCCGCTTCTTCCTTTCCAGGTCGCTGGGGTCACTGGTGCCCGTTTCCAGAGGACATGCATGTCTAAGCACACAGTTAAAAGCACTTTAAAAAAATATGAATAATAATAAAACTATGTTGATATTAAAGAGTATTGTCAATCTGACACACTGTTTTTTTTTATTTGTGTGCAAAATTTAACAACTTTCTAAATCCCATTAAAAAAGTGGGCTGATTATTTAGGTCATGACTGAAATTTTTATAAATATTTTTCTACATATTTGATTGTCCATATTCAGATGCACTGCACATTTAATTTCTTATAGTATTGAGATATGATTCAAACAGATATTTAGAGTCAAACAAATTCGTACATGCTTACAGCACCAACTCCCCTCTACCTCTAAATCACATTCCTGCATCTATAAATGAAAATAATTGTAGCTACAGTATTTTATAACAAATCTATAATAGTATAAAACTAAATTGAGTACATTTGGTTAGATTCTTTATCAGGGTTTACAACACATGACAGAGACACACAAACAATAAAACCTGATGAATAAGTCAGATGAAGCCCATAAGAGCAATTTAAAAGTTGACTGAGCCACGTTGCCACATGATGATAATTTTACTTTAAAATCTGATTTATTAATTACCAGTACTATACTATTAAGAGTGGACATTTCTACACTGACATTTTGTTTTAGAGTTACTAAATGATATAACATAACAACTTTTAGTCCAAGCTTTACGCCCTGTAGACACGAGTTGTGATATTTCCCCTTCAGTGCAGCTTGTTGTCTGCAGTGTGTGTGTTCACGTTTTTACACACTCGTGTGAACGTGTTTTACTTTCAGCCTTGTATCAATCTGATGTTTCTTACTTTCATTACTTTACCCCTTTCCCCAACATACCCTAGTGGTTCAACAATGGAAGCTTATGCCAAGTTGTGCAGCACGCCTCCCTGACAGAGCGAGCTCTAAAGGGCCCAGGTTATCAGAGCTGAGCTATCAGCAGAAGATGTGCGTCTCAGAACAAAAACCATCGTATATAAAATGCTCATGTTGATTAAAAGAGGAGAGGATGAGCGTAACAGACAAATGGGACACCACGAGGTCTGAAAAGGTGATTATGAGGAGTTTATCATTTTAAACGGGCACAAGAATCGTGATAAAGATGTTTCTCTCCAATCAAAATGAACCCCATAAGTTCCTCTGGAAGTTTTCATCCATGAGGGTTTCAAAGTTTACAGTCCACGAGGGAATGATGACAGTCGACAGGAGCCGTGTTTACACTACAAGAAGAAATATATGGGCTGCCTCTGTTTATGTCTGTTTGATACTTTCCTATTGTCTGTGCTCACAGACACCGTTTAATGTGGCTGATTCATTTTGACTTTAATTCACACCGGAGGTCGGGGGTGGGGTTGGGGGTGATGCTGTTTTGCTTTAAAATAAAACTAATAAGTATTTCGTCACAGCTTCGCGGTCATAGCACTTTGAAAGTGATCTCCAATAAAGTTATTGAATAATAGCTGTCATAGACATGCTGTCTGTGGCTCTGCAAGATGAGGGGCTGCCATTCTGAGAATTCAAGGTTCAATTCTGGTTTCATCTGTCGACGTGTCCTTGAGCAAGGCAGTGAACCCCAGGTTGTCCCTGATCTGTGGTTTGATGTGTTTGCATGTGGGCGTAGTGGATAACACTAAAAAGAGTGATCATTGTTGTAAATGTGGTGAATTTGTCATTATTAGACATTAGTCATTTATTTATACTCACTGAGCCACAAGGATTCATGATTCAATGATTCACAATCCATTTATTGTATTCTGACAAGAAAATTTAAAGTTTTATTGAAAATGTGTCAACAGGATAAAAAGTATCTTAGCACAGACAATCAAAAAGCAAATAGACGTGATCAGAGGCAATATTTGATTCTTATCACATTTGGTCTTACCCAGCACAGAAACACTGGTATTTTTTATGACTATTGCATCATTTCTTATTAAAAACAACTAATTTGTCTAGCTTTCACTGTGAAACAACAAAATGAGAACGATCAAAGTTCTTGTTTTCTCTGATGTAAGTTTTGTTGTTGGCAGCTGAAGTCAAATTAACGTTATGAAACTGTGTACTGCAAACATTTTGTATTTAAATTGAGTAACCCTGTACCAGGGGTTCCCCTTGAAATGTGAGAAACAGATTCTTTCTCCCAGTTCAGACCATCTTCTGGACCATTTGTTCTTGTCTTGTGGTGTCTCTGTCTCCAACATTCTTCTGCTCTGACTTGTCTCTCTTCAGCTCTGTAAATTTAAAGGATACACCAATTAAAAAAAAAAAAAAAAAATATATATATATATATATTTTTTATTTTTTTTTATTTTACAGCTATGATGATGAGGCTAAGCCATAAAAATATCGTATTGATGATTTTTATATAAGCTCAAACAACCACACGTCGATTTAAAAATAAATTGTATTTATGATGTTTGGTTTTCTTGGATGCCAATCAGAACTATGAGCTCCTCTGAAAAACAATCTAGTCTGGTTTGTGCAGAATGAAATATTCTGATTTAAATGTTTGATGGTTTATGCCAGAAATATTCAGACATTCTAATATTTAATAGGGTTTTATTTTATTACTTATTTTTACTTTTGCATTTTGCTGCCATGACTGCTTTAAAGAATCTGGATACGTTATTGTCAGGATTTTATAAAAGCTGTGCGGTGCCTCTATAATGTTATTTGTGATTTTATTAATTAATTGATAACTGCTTGTTGCTTTATCTTGATCAGGGTGCTGGAGTTCATCCCAGCTGTCACTGGGCAAAATATACCTCACACCTATTTATTGTTTTCAATGATTTACTCTAAGCATTTGTTTAATAAAATAGATTGAATTCGTAATTCTGAAGCAACTCCTGGTGATTAAATGTTTGGTAAAATATGTCAGAATTGATCATATTAGCAGTGCAGCCCTGTACGCATGTACCAGAGAAAATTTCATTAAAAAAATTCTTAATCACAATCCGCCTTACATTTGTCTTTATCTTAGGTCCATATTCAAAACGCTGCCCTGGCCGGTGGAGTCGCAGCAGGAACAGCTGGTGAAATGATGCTGACGCCTTTCGGCTCCATGATTGTTGGTTTCTTGGCCGGCATCATCTCCGTGCTCGGCTTCAAATACCTCTCGGTAAGGACGAATCAATGTTTATTCTCATAAATGAGCCGTTTAAGAAATGCCAAACTCTAAAGACGAGTCTGTCCAAAAGTTTCGTCGCACTGATTTTAATTCTTGCGTTGCTACTATTCTTATGTTAATCTAAAACAAATTACATATCAGTAAAGTGACATCTTCTGTTTCAGCCCATCCTGGAGGAAAAGCTGCGTATTCAAGATACCTGTGGGGTTCACAACCTGCACGGGATGCCCGGAGTCCTGGGGGCCATTGTGGGGGCTGTCACTGCTTCTGTTGCAACTAAAGATGTTTATGGAAACGGGTAAACGATTCATCTGACACAATGAAATATTTTACAAGTTAAATCTAGACTCAACAAGCTTAACTTTGCTCAGAGCTCTCAGCTCTTTGTGAGCTAAAAGCTGTACCTACTGTTGTATCACTTTGTTGTAGAACGATATGAAACCATTTTAAACACTGAACATTTTCATGTTTCATACAAAATTGTGCTCACAATATTTTTCTAACTTGTCGTGATAACTTGCAAAGAAAACTGGTTTTTAATATTGAGCTGACGTTACCGTTTTATTTTCTTTGTGTATTTTTAAGTTTGCATAAGGTGTTTCCTGATGTGGCGGATGGAAGCAGAAGTGCGATGTACCAGGGAGGCATGCAAGCACTTTCCCTGGCAATCACCCTGGGCATGGCCCTGATTGGTGGTCTTATTGTTGGTAGGTGTCACACGACTCGCCTTCATTTGGAGAGTTGAAGCTCAGTAAAATTAAAGAGACTCAATTTAACTGATAATTTTAACTTTAGATTCAGGTTTAGAAAGGAAAGACACATCACTCCATTGTATCAACTTATTTAAAAATCACGTTAAATAACTGGTCAGTTCAAGACACTTGTGGTCAAATTAAATAGCAAACGCATATTTAGGATTCCTAAATCAGCAAACCTGTTGTTCAGTACAGTACAACACAAATCAACATTTCCACATTAGTTGCCAGGTTGGATTAAATAAATAGTTTTATCTACTTCATGAGTCATGAGACGTTCTTATGCAGGTTAGCAGAAGTTCAGAACAAAATGGACTCTTGCACGTATTAAATAATGCGCTTTGATTAGAATTTTATTGTACTAAATCATTTCAGTGAAAGCATACTATACATGCATCTACAAAAAAAAAACCTAATTAGTGTTGACATACTGATGCTTTCTGTCCAGGTTTTATTTTGAAGGTGCCCCTGTTGGGTGCTGCTTCTGATGCAGCCTGCTTTGAGGACAGCATCTACTGGGAGGTGAGCATAACCCAACTACAGAGATGGAAACAAGCAGCTCAGCAGAATGCATCAATGTTTCCACTGACAAGCATCCAAAAAGTGTATTTATTTTGGGGTTAACAGCTTTCAGGAGGGCCCTATTTTCATTAACACCCAATAATTAAAAAAAAAAAATGTGTTTGAAAGATGGAGATTGTTCAAACAAAATGCTGCAAACTGTCTAATTATTAGCATTAAATAGTGGGTACTTATGTTATAAAAAGGGTATTAAAAGAAACAATAGGGTTTGAATGTGTAAAGTAAATTTTATATTATCTGTTGCAGTGAAAGATTTTGTATATAAATCAAAAACAAGATTCCTTGTAAACTGCTTTCTATGATTTTGTTGATTATCAAATGTCCCTGGGGGGTTAGAAAAGGAGATTTTTATGTCACAACCATAAGATGGTGGTGTTGCACCAGTAGAAGCAGCCGGAAAACAGTCACACCAGTCTATTAAATCTGACCTTATCTATTTCTGACCACCAGGGGAAGCAAATTCCCAATCCTTACTGGGTGGTTAAAAAAAACTTTAGATGTAAAACTGGCCTAAATAAGATCTGCCACCAGTAAATTGTACATCCTGTTTGTTGTATATTATGATTATACATTTATATTGTGGATTATTAGGATTTTATTTTAAAAAGTAAGATTGAGGCCATTGTTATTTCTCAATTACCATAGTTTAAACTTTAAAAAAATGTTAATGTTAATATAGAAATATGAGAATTGCCTTTAGTTCATAAAAACTCAAGATAAATAAAGCAAATACAATTAAAATTATTTTATTGGTCCTATTTTATGGTAATATTTGTTTTATTATAATTTATCTACTTAAATGTTTGACATCAACAATCAAGTTAAAAAAAATCCACATTTAAAGCACTCTGGTTAATAAAAATAATAACAAAGGCTGCAGCACTTAAAGCTGGAAAAAATGTCATAAGATGCATAAAATGGAGAATAAAAGTGATGTGAAAAATCAAAGCAGCTACGTTTAATTAAATGTTGAAACTTTTTTTGTCCCAGGTGCCAGGTGAAGAGCCAGATCACGAGGAGCAGATGACCGTAGTGAAGACCGAAGAATCTGAGAAGCTCAGCGCCTAATCTGTCGAACAGGGAACTAGAGAACCACTGTGAGGTTTAAAACAGCACTTGAACGCCTGCAGGCTCAAAGATGTCCAGATGTATCCACATTGTGCTCATGCCAGCTGCCAAATTGTGTGTTTTACATGTAAAATATATATTTTTACACAGCTAAATATCAAAATAAAAGTTACTGAATATCACCAGAAGCCATTCTAGAGCCAGATTATGTTACAGAACTGTGAAACGACAAAACACGGTTCTATTTACAGAAAAATGGCTTCTGTGATTCCAATAAAAGACGATGTGTTACAAAGCCTGATTGTTGATGTCACTTCAAACCAAAGACGAATGTTTAAATCTAGAAAACCGCATTCAGTAAAATATCTCAAGTGAGAGATTAACGTTTAAATCAATCTGTTGTTTTTATGATTTTCTGTTAATCAGTTTCTTGCAGAAACCCAAAGATACTTTAAATGCATTGTTTCTACTAAAGCTTTCAGACACTTTTCCTTTCCGTACAAATAAAATATAAATAGAATAGAAAACCAGTTTAGTTCAGCTTTTCACCCTCACTGACATTTGTTGGTCTTTTAACTTGACTGATTCCAATTCTGGCCCAAATCAAGTAGATGATGGTTATTTTTTTCTTGATTTTTGAAGTTAGACCTTTATGGAAACACAGTTTTGGTTTATTTATGGCATCAAATAAAGTGATCAAATTTTATTTTTTCTCTTGTAATGTTTAAAATCAAATAATAAAGTAGCCTCCAATGAACACAAAGTGGACCACACACCTGTAACGACTAACTAGTCACACAAAGCAAACCCTCTATAAAATATGTGGCATTTTGTGGCACTTAAAGGAATAGTCTGGTTATTTCTGAAGTGATGTTCTATAACATTTATCAAAAGTTAGTACTTTATCAGCTGTGATCATTTTATTTACCCTTTATTTATACAGGTAGTCTCATCGAGTCACAAGAACTCATTCTCAAGAGAGACCTGTTCGGGAGCAGATGGTGGGGGTTAAGGGCCTTGCTCAGGGGTCCAGGTGAGGGTGGAGGCAGGTGTAGGTATTTCACTTTCTTCACCCACATTTTGATGTCGTCAGTCCGGGGAGTTGAACCTGCGACTTTCTGATCATGGGCCCATCTTCTCTAGCCTCTGCACCACCACTCCCTTATATCAGTCATAGAAAGTAGAGAACATGGAATAAAAGGCAAAAATCTAACAACAATAAAAATTAAAAATAAAGAAAATACGAACCATACATAAGAAAAAAAAAACGTTTGTTTCTATTAGTTTGCAGTAAAACTCAGGAAGTCTCAGCTACACGAGTTAAACACTTGGAACAAATGTTGCTTTGGCTCTTAATGAGTTAACACACTGAAAAACAGAAAAAAATCCTAAAATAAGTATTAAAGCATGCATGAAATAATAAAATACTGCAATCTTTGTTGATTGGGGCATGAAGTTTTATTGATCCCAGGATACGAGCCAGCACACATCACTACAGGACCGAATATTTGGGAAAAGATGACATTTCAGTGTTTCATATTAACATTTTTGACAAGTTTTACTTTGGACAATCGAGCTATTTGCATAACTTGATGAGCTGCCTGCGACTGTGCAGAATTATTAGCACATTTACATAGAGGGCCCCTTCACAGGCTGCCCTCTCCCCCTCCTCTCCTTCACACACAGACACACACACACACACACACACACACACACACACACACACACACACA